ATTAAAAAGAAAAAAAAAATAAAGTTAAAAAGATGACAAATTTAAAGTGAGCAGACATTACAATAGCATTTGACGAGAAGTAATAAGATCAAGCGCCTCTTCTTTTTGCCATCATCTATCCATCAAAGCAAAAGAAGATTGTTTTATCAACCATCTTAGCAAAATATAAGCTGGCTTTGCCGGCTTCTGCATAACAGCAACAACAAAAATATGTTTCTCCATTTGCTGATTTCAACGCTATAAAACGAAGCAAAATAATAAAAAAAAAAATAGCAACAAAAAATTGCAGCAGCCACAAAAAATGGCTGAAATATAAAGAAAGAAACGATGAGTAGAAGAAAATTTTTTTTTGTTAATTTATCGAATACAAAATTGATGAAAAATTTTCTGGCGACAAAATCCCATCTCTTCATAGAATGAATTTTGATTAAAAACGATTGGCAAAAGAAGTTTTGCAGCGAATTAACAGAAACATTTTTAGAGCAGTGAAAATTGAGAACAAAAAATTTTTGCTTTTATTCTTTTTCGCCTTCATCATCACCGTCACCCACTTCATCTCCATCATCGTCATCATCGTCATCGTCATCATCATCACCTTCTCTTTCTCCCTTTTTCACTGTAGCAATGCGTATCAAAATAATCGCAAAAAAATTCTTCCATTTTTCTTTTAATTCCAAACTCAGTTGACAACTTACATCAATTGTAAAATACAATGCAAGAAGAAAAAAGTAAGTTGATAGACAATCAGTACAAAAAAATTTTTCATCATCAACAATAAAAATTGTTTACTTATTGTATGATATTATAAAAATTGATTTTCATCAACAATCCTATTTGATGATTTACATATAAAAGTTCAGTTCAAATAGAGAAGTTTTGCAGAAAAAATTTCAAACAAGACGACAACCTATTCAGGTTGGTTGAATAAGATATTTTGGATTGTCCATTGATGGTTTGAACACCAAAGTTCAATTAAATGCTGAAGGCCACTCAATCTACTTAGTAGTAAAAAAATCAGTTTAAGATCTATGTACAAACAGGAGTATAAAAAAGAAGATTTGTTTTGAAGAAGGTTTCAAATATGAAACCGATGTCACATAACTATTATTATCGCCACTGATAAAATCATTTGCTGAGACATAAAATTAAAACCATTCATAATTTCCGTTTTACTTGCCGCGCTAATTTGCATAGACCTGTACTACCGCATAGAAATCTGCTGACACTTTCTACACTGTAAGAATATAGTTTATCCTTTGCACAAAAAGCAAAATGAAAACAAGAAAAAAAAATGTCTCTCTCTTTGAAGCTTAGTAAACTTGAAAGTACAAAAAAAAAAAAAAAA